GTGTGCTAAGTGAGTGAACATCAAAGATCACACAACAGAAGTTCTCTCTCTCGCGCTCTCTCTCTCTCTCTCTCTGTCTTTCTCTCTCTCTCCCTACCGTTAAGTAACTTGTGCATTGTTTTACTTACTTGTCTTTTACATATCCGACCAAACTACAAACTTTCTCTGTGAGAAAGGTATATTCACTCGACGAGCTCGTGCATCTGTGCCGCCACGCGCTCAATCCACTCAGTGTGCTTTGTTTATCAGCTCGCACACATCAGCTATACAGGCGTTAATACTGAATGTTTAACATTATATTCATTGCATACATATACTTCGTAGTAGACATCCTTAACTCCATTCTGCTGTCTGTTGTTCTGTTGTCGGTGTTTCTTTGTCTGAATATGGCGCTTATCACATGCTGTGTGGTATCGGCGTTTGGTATCGGGGCATTTTAACGAGTACGAGTACGAGTACAGGAGCTCAGTATCGGGTCCGATGTATCCTTACTTCCATAGTATGGATTTTGTATTTTTTTGTATTTTTTGGTGAACTATCCCTAAACTACTAAATGTCTGTTCAGTGGTACATATTAAACAGACAGCACAATTAAATGATTAAAAAGCAGTTGTAAACGTTTTACAAAATAAACACTAATTTCTGCACCCATAGAATGTGCAACACTTTATATTTATTACCAGATTATACATAATATCTGAATGATGGGATATGTTTAGCCTCAAATAGTATGTTGGAAGTGTGGATAGTTTTTATTAATCTTTTGAATTGGCTATTATTTTTATATTTTCAGTTTTAATTTTTATTTTAGTTTAATTTATAGTCATTTTGTTATGTACTTTTGCCATTTTTCCATTACTATTTAGGCTTAATCTATTTTTAGTTCAGTTAAAGTTTTAGTTCAGTTTTAGTTTTTATTTACATCTAATTAGCATTTTATTTCAAGGCAACATTACCCATTTTCATTTAGTTTAAGTTTGATTTTATTTCAGCTAAACAAAAATGTTTTAATAATAGTTTTAAAGTTTATAATAGTTCTAGTTAATGATAATAGCCCTGCTATGAATGTTTACACAGTGTGTTCGATAAAGACACAAAAATGTATGCTTGTGTGTTATTTGTTAAAGCAAACTGTGTGTTTTGACCAGTTTATGCACAAAACCATGGTAAATTCAAGGGTTCACTTATTTTGTCCCCCACATCTGTAGCTGCCTTTACAAACCTGACAGTTCTATTTATTGTATTTACCTAACCCTTTCTCTTCACTTTCACTTTAAGGTCACCGTTTTGAGGACAATCCTGGGGTTAGACGTCACCTCGTCAAGAAATCATCACGCTGTCAATTACCACGAACCAGCAATAGCTCTCCTCCTCTGTCCAGCCTGAAGAGGAGGAAGAGGATGGACAAGAAAACTCATGAGGTGAGTGCTGAGCTTCCTAACCGCACAGAGAAAAGAAAAATGAGACCTAGTTTCACACAGCCAGACGTACAGTTTTTTTGCTCACTTATACTAAAGTAAACTGACCTTTGTTATGTTTTAATATGGCATTTATGAGAAGATTTATCAATAATAGAACAGTGTGGAAAAATTATTCAAATAATAGCATGGCAGACTCTCACAATTATATAGTAAACACTGAAAAACTAGCCGAAAACGTGTATTGATTTTGAGATTCTGTTTTGCTCCTCAAGACCAAGCTGAAAGTAAAGCCTTTGTTTTCCCCAGACTGACATTGATACTGATGATGAGGTGGTGTTAATAGAGATAATCAATGTGGAGGAGCAGAAGAGACCCCAAATTCGGTGATCTTTTCTTTGCTGATATCTATTGATCCGTTTCATCCAGTGGGCTTCAATAAACGGGTGAAAGCAGTGTTTCTAAATCAGCTGGATTAATTACATAAGGCTCTTAGTTAGTCAGCACTGGAGTCTCTGCTATTCATGTGGCTGCATCTGCTGATCTAAGCTCTTAATCAACCAGCGGAGGAGAATCAGTTGTCTCGCTGGAGTTCAGGATTCATGTAGATGCATGCATAAAACATGTCTCAAAAGTCCTCCATAGAGCACACTCTTTAAGCACTTTGGTGCACTTTACTTTTTTATTTTTTTTATTTTAACAGTTCCTTCAGTAAATTATTCTTCATGCAGCAGAGATTAATCAACATGCAACTTGGGATTCAAAGCAAAAGCTATTTGGGAAAAAAATACTTAATGTTGTAATTAAGGCAATAAACTACTCTCCCATTGCAAATGACATTAGAATTTTCAGTACGATAACATTTTTTTTACTTCAGTAGTCATTTAATTCAGTATTATTAAAGTGGTTTTATAGTATTTCTTAATATTTTGAATCAGCTTTTATTTTTATATTTTCCATTTTAATTTTACTTGTTACTTGTTTTAGTAATTTTATGTGATTTTGTGTTTTTAAATATTTTAAAATTGAGCCTTCATTTGCTTTAATCTGTTGTAGTTTATTTGATCTAATGTTGATTTTAATTTATTTCATTTTTATTTTATTTTATTTGTATTTATTTATTTTTTGTTAGTTGCTAAGGTAACATTTATAATTATTTCTTAAGTATAAGTTGAAGTTTTTACTCTAATATTTATATTTTGGATTCAGCTTTATTTCAATGAGTGAAAATGTTTTTTAAAATAGTAAAACTAAATTTAGCTTGCAGTAACAAAACTGATTTACTTAGTCATAAGTGTAAAAAAAACTTTTCTGAATATATTTATCATTTTTATTACTAAATGTCTAATCATATACGGAGATATAAGTAGTTGGAGAGTGAAGGTAGACTTACTTGATTATGTCATTTGCAGTGCTTCATGGGAGTGAAAGATTCATGCTGGCTTCCATTGTAACAACAACTTCTCTGGTTGGTTGTCATCTTTTTGTTGGTAGCAAAGCTCTCAGCACTGAGAATTCGGTAATGAAACACTCATAAAACGTTTGTTTTATGAAACTGAAATTGACTGAAATCTCACTGACTTGTGGCTTCAGTCTGTCTTGAAAGGTTTTTAGTCATTTTGATAGATCCATCACCTGTGTTTTTACTTTAGAATGAAAAATACTAGAACGAAAGAAGTTCCCTTTCATGGGAATTTCAAACTGCGTCCTCTAGGGGTCGCTATGGGGAACGCCTCGTCGTGACCCGTGTCTGAAGCATACATTGAAAAACACCAACTTGTTGGCCGGCGACAGCCATGCCGTCACTACCGGTGCGACTCCTACTCAGGGAACCATGGTTACATAAGTAACCTGAGACGATTTATGATATCGTTGTCATACTTTGTTTGCAAAATATTTCAGTCTTGCTCCCCTTCCAACCAGAACTCTACTTGTTTGCCTATTTCCTAGAAATTGGCTCTCGGGGAGCATTTCCAAGATGGCTGCCAAGTGAACTGAATTGCCTTGAAGTAACTTTGGTTACGATTCATTAAAAGTGCTTTATGATGTGCGTTTGACACCGTGTTCTCCGTAGGTGTTTGTGGAGCTCAATGAGCTGATAGTGGATAAGAACCAGGAGATGCGCTGGAAAGAGACGGCGCGTTGGATCAAGTTTGAGGAAGACGTGGAGGCAGAGACGGATCGCTGGGGTAAACCACATGTGGCCTCACTGTCCTTCCGTAGCCTGCTGGAGCTCCGCAGGACCATCACACATGGTAAGAGTCGGCTGCTCTGCCAGCCCACTCAGAGCCTGTGATCCTGCTCCAATCCTAACATCCACACACTTGACAAACCAGTGCTGTATGACTGACAGAATTCAACTGGACACTTAAATTAGATAAATGGATTAAACCCTCTTGGGCATATCCACTTTTTGACCATGAAAAACAAATTATTTTCAATGTCAGGGTAACAAGGTAAACAGTGCATTAGTTTCAAAAAAGCATGACAAAAAATTCAGTCAAAACACATCAGTGAGAACGAAGGTTTTTGGTACGTTTCAGTTCCTGTGGTTGTGGAAACAAAATGACAACCCTGACAAAAGGCATCTTTCATGGACGACAGTGATAGACTGACATGAGGTTTTGCAAAAACAAGAAAAAAAGTGCAGTGGCCATGTAGAAGTAGGTGGTATGATCAGAATATGAGTAATTTGATATCATGGCAACAGTATATGTTATTAATAATTGTTTTTGTTGAGCATTTGTTTGAAAATGGCGCAATAAATTAAATGCCTAAAAAACATATTTATACTCCGTCAGAAGATTATTTGAATTGTGGCATTTGAAGTGAGAATATGTCTTTAGAATGATCCCACAATTAGGCTTCTTTTGCATTATTCTGTTATGTAAGCTTTAACGCATATATGCCAATATCATAAACATGGGGTTCTGTTACCCAGGTGCCATAATGCTAGATCTGGATCAAACCACACTCCCTGGCATCGCCCACTTGCTGGTGGAAACCATGATAATCTCGGACCAGATCAGAGAAGAAGACCGAGCCAACGTGCTGCGAGCCCTGCTGCTCAAACACAGGTTAGTGGAGCTCAGAAATCAATAGTCCAATAGTCCAAACAAAGCTCATATTGATCTTCTTTGCTGTGGGCCTTGATGTCAATGTCATTTGTCACAGCTGCCTGTATTGGTTTCCTGCTAAATGAAGTGGTGTGATTACATAACAAATATACTTCATATGACAGCGCACCAGGCTCATGCCACTGGAGGTTTTAATGACATGTTGCTATTGCAGCTGCAGAGACATCAGATACTGAAGGTGTTTAAAGGAATAGTTCACCACAGCATTGTTAATGTTTACTCATTCCTATTAAACTCTATTAAACACAAAAGGAGATGTTAAGCAGAATATCTGAGCTGCTCTTTTACCATGCAAGTTATCTTATTATGGCCCGTCCTCCTACAGAGCTATCTTATGATTTCCGAAGACTTGGAGGATAGTGCACAAGTTACATGGTCTATTTTTGTGGTGCTTTTAATGTACTTTTTTGGAGATTTGCCTTATAAATCACCATGCATTCGACATATTAATTTCATTTCTTACCGTAAAAACATATAATGCTGGGTCAGAATGACATGAGGGTGAGTTTTTGATTTTAGGGAAATTATCACGCTAACTATTTAACTAAGTTAATGCTGTGTAAATGCAATATTTGGTATGGCTCAGACAGCCTCCTTTCTTGAAGGATTTTGAAGTACCATGTGTTTTCTTTGTTAAGCTCAACTCAGCCTCTGGGTCTCGCTCTGAGGTCAGAACCATACACTGAGTACTAACAAAATTAATATCGCATGGCCTCCGCTACAGAAATCTGGGCTGCATTAATAGTTTGAAGCAGTACCTTTTCTAACCACATTTGTATTAATATTACAAAAGATATTCATACAGTAGCTCCAAAAAGTTTTGGGCACTCAAGCCACACTTTAAAATGTGTGAATGTCATTGCATTAGATACATACTATCAAAGTAAGTGGAATCAACAAACAAATGATGCTTTTCTCTGAACTATCTTTAGTTTCCTGATCTATTTTTACAATGACTTTTAATTAACTGATTTTCCTGTGATTTGTAGTGGTTGAAACTTATTTTGTGAATATTTATTGCTTGATGCTTATGCTATATATACTTTTTAGGGATGCACTGAATTTTCGGCCTAATGGCATTTTCGGTGTTCGGTCGAAAGAGAAAAAACATTTTTGTGAAAAGTTCTTTAAAAGTGTCTGGAATGCAATAAAGTAATTTTTAAAGCTGTTTTTAAAGGGGTCATATGCTGTTGCTAAAAAGAACATTATTTGGTGTATTTGGTGTAATGAAATGTGTTTATGCGGTTTAAGATTAAAAAAACACATTATTTTCCACATACTGTACATTATTGTTTCTCCTCTATGCCCCGCCTTTCTGAAACGCGTCGATGTAACAACGTTCGTAGGTTGGGAAGAAGGAGGTGGGAACCGGCGAACGTTCAAACAAAACTTTAATAATAAAATAAACACAAAATAGCACGACAGCCCCTCACGGATTTGCTGCATGGATTAAAAAATAATAGGCTAATAAATAATTCACACAAAATTGCGTTGCAACAAATCCTTTAAATTTTAAGGTATTCAGAACAGAGCAACATAAAAATCAGAAAATATAAGCAGCTATACAAATATAGGACAAAGTTTTACATATATGCCATTATAATTTTTTATTTTTTTTTGTATAGAATTATAAAATAAAACTCAAATTATAATGAGGCCTGTTTTAGGCTTTTCCTTATTTTTATATTTTATACATCCATCAATTATGGTGATGAAAAAAATGACTGGCCATCTCCTCATTGGACATGCCTTTAGAGAGAAATGCAACTTTATGGATTACATAATGAAAGAGTTTCTATTTTCCATTTGAATTATTTCATTTTAAAGTAGTAATTTAAAGCTTTCTATATATTTTTATCATGTCTGTGAGGCAATTCGCTGAGTTACGATTCATCATTGTGAAGCGCTCCTGTTCAAGACCAAGACAGCAGAAAGCGCATCCTGTTTGTTTTATAAAAGCACAACGTTTTGTTGATATTGTGTGTGCACAAATAAAAGTAGACCCTTTACAGTTTAGAATGATGTATTGCTCTTACTTTTATGAGCAAAAATGACAGCGTATTTTAAATTGTTTCCACTGTTAGAAAAAAATGCAAGTAATCGCGCTGGCGCCTCCATGTCCTGCAGAGCGCACTTGAGCTTCCACTCTCCACACAAATGCTTGGATATGCGTCTAACAGCGCACATTTATATAGGTTAAACATTTAAACTAACTTTGTGATATGCTTGAACTGTTTTATATCTATAGATTTTATTTTAGGCAAGTCGTGATGATTTGAGAAGGCTTGATCAAACATAGGCTATGATTAACTCACTGTCTGCCGCTGGCTGCTTGGTCGTTAGAGTGAAAAAAAATTCAGGTCTGAAGGGGTTAAAACAAACTTACATTTAACGAACAAAAAATGCTCCAAACGTTTTTCTAAATTAACTTTATACAAAAACGAAACAAAATATAATCACTTTTCCATTACATACAAAACGGAACTGTTTAAATAGCTGAAATAGTAGTATAAGCTGTTTTGAGAGAAGGGGATAAAAGATGGGCTCGGGTCGGACTCGGGCCGGTAATTCTGATAAGCTGTCGGACACGGGCCGGGCTAGGGCCTATATTTGAGGCCCGTGCAGGGCTCTAATCCACTTAATCCAACGCTGTTTTGTTCTCTGTTGTTTTCATCTGTGAGCATGCTCTTGTGATGTAAAAGAGATGTATTTTACTGTACCATTTTGTTGAGTTTAAAACGTGTGACACGTTCGTTCTGCTCCCACTGACCATTCAGTCAAATAGGCATCTCTTTTCTTCAGTGAGTGCAACAAAAGTTTAAAAACCAGTTCTGCTTTTATATCATTTAAGGGACATTGGAACTGCTCAGAGATGCGTATTTTTGGTCAGCTAGAGGGATTCACTTTGACAGGCTATAAAATATACGCACAGTTAAACGTGATGAAATCAAAAACCAGATTAAACCTCTCTACAGCGTTTCCCATCATCTCACATGCAGTTTGTAATGTGAAAACCTGTCAAATTAGTCATAAATATGTCTTTGTAATGTGGAAAAAAATACATCAATGTGCTCTAAGTTAGGTCATTAGTTACTCAAGTTTTTGGAAATGTTTTCAAACACAATTCAATGTTACACCTTATCTCTTTGTTTTCTTTGTGTGTATAGTTTGGCTGGAGCATAACTAGATCTCAAATGAGGCTTAATGAGTGTGCCGATGTCAAGCGTTGGACACGGTTGCGGTGACGTGTCTAACAAAGCTGGGCAGCCACTCTTTATTCTTCACTTTTTTCAGGACGCATAGAAGCACCCAGTGCAAACCAAAATTAGTGTTTTGTAAAAAACAATAAAGGCATTTATGAATTAATTGGACTGCCTTTGCGGTCGATTTTTAGAGTTCATAATCTGTTTAAATATTCCCTGATGAATGTTGTTTTTCTGTTGTCTTTAGCATTTTTTTTTACTGATTGCTTTGGCACGTGTTTCTTCGAGCGAACAGGGAATGTGGTTTGGTTTTGCAGTTTGGATTCTGATATCCTGCCATGTTGGGTTTTGTGTTTGCTTTGCAAATATCGCAAGCGAAGATGGAAAATTGCCTTTTTGGACATTGATAAGCAAGGAAATTACTGTACGCGTGGAGCTAAATAAACACGAGAGCAGGGATATTTGTCTCACAGAGGAGAACAAATGAACTCGAATAGCTTGACAGATTAAAGAAGTCATAACATTTTCACTATTAAAGACATAGTTCACCCAAAAAGAAAATGAAAATACTGTAATTTATTCACCCTCTTGTCATATGACCAATATTAATTTCTTTCAGTTTAACTTATTATTCATTCTTCTGTTGAAAACAAAAAGTAAATGTTTTTAAAGAATGTCCTGGCTGCTATTTTTTAGTTTAATGAAGGTGAATGACAACATTGTGACAAACAAAACACCATAAAAGTATGAGGATGAATAAATCATGAAAATTATCCCTTTAATGCCTCGTGTTTATAGCCAAAAAAAAAAAGTATTTACTTAATCAGTATTTTCATCTTTCGTCCAAAAAGATGTTAACAGCCATAAAACAAGCTAAATTTACTTAAGAAGAAAAATATGTGAGGTTATAAGATTTGTTTTCAGAGAATATATATTGAATTTTCTTAACCCATTACCCATTAGCAAACTTTTTTTTTTCTTATTTCATGCATAAACCACTCTTTTTATCTCATTTTTGCTGGATGTTTTGCTTATAAAAATCACTCATTGAATCTTTTTCATTATTGTGTGTGTGTGTGTGTGTGTGTGTATATATATATATATATATATAGAGAGAGAGAGA